GGTCTGGGGGAAAAAACACAAGCCCTCCAGAAGGGGGAAGAGACACAGGAGGGAAATCTTGTTTCAATTTTTATTTTCTTCTGTTCTCTTGCACTCAGTCCTCAGACATTCCCGGGGCATAGGTAATGACAGCAGCCACAGCAGTGACCCATGGCCCCTACTTGAGAGGGAGCAGAACCTTCCTCACTGATCAGAAAAGCTGTGGTCCACGTCTCTGTCTCCCAATCTGGATGCGGGCACAGCTATCAACTGTGCGCAGCAGAGCAGAGTAACTCAAGTCCCAGCTCTCTGAAGGGAGGACCCACAGCGAGTCCAGGGAACCAGAAATCACTAAGGAGCCCACAGAGTGGGAGGAGGCAAGGAAAGGGACCCTTTAAAGCTGTGCATGAGCTCCTGGGCTCACCCCTAAGCTGCATGCACGTGCACGTGCCTGACCCTGAACAGCATACCTAAGACTTTGAGAACTGAACACAGAACAAACCATCATCCAGATCCAAGACTGGCCACTGGGTGGTGCACACGCAGGGCAGCTCTGACCAGCATGGCAGAGCTTTTGGAAACCGACCTTCCGTCAGGACCACAGCTGGCAGGAGGCTGGTGGGAACTTGCTGAACGGGTCAAATGCCCGATCAAACAAAACTAAAGTCCTCTGTGGCATTTAAACAAGATCTAGAGCCTCATAATATAATATTCAAAATGTCTGTAATACAGATGAAAGTGACTTAGCATTTGAAAAAACAGAAAAATCTCAACTTTTACCATCAAAGACAAGGACCAGACCCCCATACCTTGATGACGCAGATGTTAGAACAATCAAAAAGACTCAGAACTAGCTATTATAAAAATGCTCCAGGAAGTAAGGGCAAACACTCTTAAACTGAATGCAAGGATAGGAAGTCTCAGCAAAGAAAGAGAATATAAAGAAGAAGCAAATTGAAATTTTAGAACTCAAAAGTACAATAACCAAAATGTTAAAGCTCACCAGATGGGCTCAATAACAATATCGAGACAGCAGAGGAATGAATCATTGAGTATGAGGACAGATTATCAGAAAGTATCCAATCTGAAAGACAAAAAAAAAAAAAAAAGGAAAGGAAAAGAATTCTAAGAACAGAAAAAAACAAATGAACAGGAACTCATGGACCTGAACCAGAAGGTCTAACATTCATGTCCTAGGAATCCCAGAAGGAAAGGAGAAAGAAAAAATGCAGTGCAGAAAAATATCTAAGAAAATAATAGCTGAAAACTTCTCAAATTTATCAAAAAGTGAAACCTACAGATTCAAGAAGCTCAGTGAATCCCCAAAAGGAGACACTCAAAGAAACCCATGCCTAGATACACTATCATCAAAATAATCAAAGCAGAAGACAAAGAAAAGTATCTTGAATGCAGCCAGAGAAAAACAACACATTACTTACAGGAAAACAATGAAGCAAAACCCAACAGAACTAAAAGGAGAAGCAAATCCACAACTACAGTTAGAGAGTTCAACACTCATCTCTTTGTTCAAGGAAACAAACAGACGAAATCAGCAATGATATGGATGAACTGACAACACCATCAAGCAATTGGATCTAATTTATAAAACACCACCAATAGCAAAATGCACGTTTTTTTTCAAGTGCACACAGAACACAAAGATCAACAACCACTTCCTGGGTCATAAAACAAACCTTAACAAATTTACAAGAACTGAAACCATACAAAGTATGTTTTCTGATAATAATGAAATTAAACTAGAAATCGATTACAGAATGATAACAGGATATCCAAAAACTTGAAAACTAAAACATATCTAAATAATTGATAAGTCAAAGAGTTCTCAAGGAAAATTAGAAAATATTTTTAATTGAATGAGAATGAAACTACGATGTAACAAAACTTGCAGAATCCAGCTAAAGCAGTGCTGAGAGAGAAATTTTTATCATTAAATGCTTATTTTAAGAAAGAAGAAAGGGCTTAACCCAATGATCTAAGTTTCCATCATTAGAAAGTAGAAGAGCAAAATAAACCAAAGTAAGCAGAAAAAATATATAATAAAGAATAGAAATAAGTGAAATTGAAAAGAGAAAATAGGGAAAAATCAGTGAAATGAAAAACTGGTTTTTCAAAATAATAAAATTGATAAAACTCTAGCAAGAATGACAAATAAAAAAAAGAAGACACAAGCTATTAATACCAGGAACACAAGAAAGCATATCATTACAGACCCTCAAACATCAACGGTGCAATAAAGGAATACCATAAACAACTCTATGCCAACACATCTGACAATTTAGATTAAATGGGAAAATTCCACAAAAACTAGAAACTAACAAAATTCACCCAAGATGAAATAGATAATATGAATAGTTTGATAACCATTTTTAAAAATTGAATTCATAGTTTAAGATCTTTTAAAAACAAAGTTTCCAGGTCCAGGTAGTCAAACTGATGAATTCTACCAAACATTTAAAGAAGAAATAACACCATTCTATACAATTTCTTCCAGAAAAGAGGAAAGGAGGAAATGCTTACCAGTTAATTTTATGAGGCTGGTACCTGATACCAAAACCAAAACCCTGATACCAAAACCAAAGATAGTACAAGCTAAAATATTTTAAAAGCTACAGACCAATATCTTTCATGAACATAAGCACAAAAATCCTTAACAAAATACTAGAAAATTGAATCTATCAATATATAGAAGGAATAATACACCACAACCTAGTATAGTTTACCCCAGGAATGCAAGGCTAGTTCACTATTCAAAACTTAATCAGTGTAATCTACCATATTAACAGTCTGAAGAAAATCCATATGATCATGTGCATTGATACAGACAAATCATTTGACAAAATTCAATATCCACCAATGATTTTTTTAAAACTCTCTAAAAACTAGAAATACAAGAGAACTTCCTCAATCTAATAAAGGGAATCTACCAAAAAAGAAAAAAATTCCTACAGTCAGTATCATACTTATGATGATGAAAGACTTTTCTCCTAAGATTGGGAATTAGGCAAGAATATCTATTCTCAACACTCATGTTGAACATCATCCTGGAAGTCTCAGCCAGTGCAATAAGACAAGACAAAGCAATAAAAGATACACAAATCGGGTGGAGAAAAAGGAACCCTCCTACACTGTTGGTGGGAATGTAAATTGGTACAGCCACTATGGAGAACAGTATGGAGGTTCCTTAAAAAACAAAAAATAGAGTTACTGTATGATCCAGTAATCCCACTCCTGGGCATATATCCAAAGAAAACTATAATTCAAAAAGATACATGCACCCCAGTATTCATTGCAGCGCTATCTGCAATAGCCAAGACATGGAAGCAACCTAAATGTCCACAGACAGATGAATGGATAAAGAATATGTTTTATATATACACAATGGAATATTACTCAGCCATAAAAAAGAATGAAATAATGCCATTTGCAGCAACATGGAGGGACCTAGAGATTATCATACTAGTGAAGTAAGTCAGACAGAGAAAGACAAATACCATATGGTACCACTTATATGTGGAATCTAACAAAATGATACAAGTGAACTTATTTACAAAACAGAAATAGACCCAAAGACATAGAAAACAAACTTATGGTTACCAAAGGGGAAAAGGGGGGTAATAAATTAGGAATTTGGGATTAACACACTACTATATATAAGACAGATAACCAACAAGCACCTACTGTATAGCACAGGGAACTATACTCAATATTTTGTAATAACCTATAGGGGAAAATAATCTGAAAAATTATATATATATATATATATATATATATATATATATAAAACTGAATCACTTTTCTGTACACCTTAAACTAACACAACATAAATCAACTTTACTTCAATTTTTAAAAAGGCATACAGGGACTTCCCTGGTGGCACCATGGTTAAGACTCCACGCTCCCAATGCAGGGGGCCCAGGTTCGATCCCTGGTCAGGGAACTAGATCCCACATGCATGCAACATCTCAGAGCTCACATGCCACAACTAAGGAGCCCTCCTGCCACAACTAAGACCCAGTGCAACCAAATTAATTAGTTAATTAATTAAATTTTTTAAAAAATGGCATACAAATAAGAAAGAAAGAAAACTCTCCCTATTCACAGGATGGCTAAAATAAAAAGTCTAACCACACCAAGTATTGGCAAGAACATGGAGAAACTGGAACTCTCCTACACTGCTGGTGGGAATGTAAAATGATGCAACCACTCTGGAAAACAATCTGGCAGTTTCTCAAAAATGTAAACATTCATCTACGATATGATCCAACAATACCGCTCCTAGGTATTTTCCTGAGAGAAAGGAAAACACATGTCCACACAAAGACATATACACAAATGTTAACAGCAGCTTTATTTGTAATAGCCCCCAGCTGGAAACAACATAAATATTCATCAGTAGATGAAAGGAAAAACTATGATAAATTCATACATTGGAATATTAATCAATGATAAAAAGAAAGAATTACTGATGCATGCTACAACATGCACCAATCTTGAAATAATCATGCTGAGTGAAGCAAGCCAGTCAAAAAACAAACACATTAATATAAATCTAGGAAGTTCATATTGCCATTGACAGAAAGTGGATCAGGAGTTGCCTGAGAATGAGGTAAGGGGAGGGTGAGAGGAATCACAAAGGACACTAGGAAACTTTGGGGGAGAGGGAGTACCAATGACATTTTCATTATTTTGATTTTGGTAAAGGTTTCATAGTTGGATATGTATGTCAAAACATCAGATTCTATTATTTAAATGTATACAGTTCCTTGTATGTCAATTATACTCAAAGATTTTTTTTTTTAACTCAACAGGCAGAAAACAAACAACCCAATTAAAAATGAACAAAAGGCTGTAACTGATACTTAGCCAAAGAGGGTACAGGGATAACAAATAAACACATGACAAGAAGTCTAACATCATTAGCCATCAGGGAAACGCAAATCAAGATCACGATGAGATACCACTACACACTCACTAAAACAGTTAAAACTAAAAATACTCACAATGCCGAGTGCTGGTGAGGATGCACAGAGGTGAGAACTCTCATCCTTTGCTGTGGAAGTGTACAGTGACGCAGCCACTCTGGAAAACAGTTTGGCAGTTACTTAAAAACGTAAACATTCACCTACCATATGACCCAGCAATCTCACTCCTGGTATTTACCCAAGAGAAATAAAGACATGTTTACACAAAAACCTGTACACAAATGTTAACAGCAGCTTCGTTCATAATCGCCAAAATCTGGAAACAATCCAGAAGTCCTTCAACTGGCGAACGATAAACAAATCACGGTCCATCCAAACCATGGAATACCACTCAGAAAGAAAAAAGAGGAGCCACTGATACATGCAACGGCTTGGCTGGATCTCAAAGGCATTGTGCTGAGTGAAAGAAGCCAGGCTCTAAGATTCCATTCTCTATGAGTCCACTGATATGACACTCTGGAGAGGACAAAACTGTCGTGATGGGGACTGGCCAGGAGTTTCCAGGGGCTGGTGACGAGGGAGGGTGTGACTGCGCAGGGTGCGTGAAGGAGATTTTTGGAGTGGTGCGGCGGCCCTGCATCTTGACTGCAATGATGATGACACAAACCTATGCATGCGTTAACACGCACAGGACCACACAGCAAAGGGAAAGTCAATCTTAGCGTACGTTCACTTAAAAAATAAAAAGGTAGGAAGGAGTGATGGGTGTTAGAGCTCTGTGGTCCCCCACCCTAGACCCTGTGTTAATGAAGAAAAACATCTCCGAAACCATGTGACTCCAATCAGAGCAGTAGGACCCTGGCTCTGCATCGGTTGGTGTCCAGGGAAGGGGGACAGATCCGCCCCGTGCGAAATGGAGAAAATTCACATTTGTTGGAAATCGCATAACCATGATTCTCCCACTCAGCCCATTTAGTCCTGAACCTAGAATGAGGTAATTATGCAGCCCAAGGAATCTTAACAGCATGGAGGAGAAACCCAAGCAAAGCCAGTGAGGGGGAAGTTCTACCAGAAACAGGAAATTTGAGCCTGACCAGAGGTCTCAGGGCTTCGCTCCCTCCCGCGATTGTGAGTTCTCAGCCAAGGCACTGTTAACCCTAAGGCGGCTCCGAGACTCCAAGTCTGCAGCAAACGTGCTTCTAAGGCAGACTTCGGAGTAAATCCCCACACATCGCTTGTCCTCAGCCCGCCACAGTGGTAAGATGGGTCTCGATGTACAGACTGACCACACGCACTGCAGGACATTTGTATTCCTGGCTCCTCCCCATCACTGTCAGAGCCAAAAGTTCCATCCCCGTGTTTGTCCAAACAACCCTTGGGCGGTGCCTCTGCTTGAGTGGCCGGAAAAACAAAGGGATGTTGAGTTGGAAAAAACTGCTCTCTTCACCCTGATTGGAAGAGTGTCCCTAGGGCCCAGGGGACAACACAATTTCACGCAACGAGATGAAAAATCTTAATGTACAAACACCCTCAGTAGTTTTAGTCCCCTGTCTGTGAGAAAGGATGCCAGTTCTGACCACATAACCCCTCCCTTCCTCAGTACCCTTTGAGGAGTGGTCTGTGACCCTCAGACTGAACCGCATTAAGGTTAAAGCCTTCAGCAGGGCTACATCTGGACCACAGAACTTGTGGTTCAGACCATCAGCAAGGCAGCCTGAGGTCAAATAGAATGCCCTGGATTTGGAAACAGAAAACCTAAGTCCAAGCCTGGACCTCACTGCCTCACCTCTCTGAGCCTCAGTGTCCTCATCTGTAAAATGGGGATAACAGGACAAGCTCTTTCCCACGTCACAATGCTTCACACATTCTGTTCCCTCTTTCTGTGGATGCTCTTCCCAGGCTCTCACAGCTGTTTCCTTCCTGTCCCAGAAGTTTTCTTGCAAAATGCCACCTCCTCAGAGGCACTTTCTCATCCAAAGTAAACTCCAACCCCAGTCACGTTGTATCACAGTGTCCTGTTGAATTCTACCAGGCATTTGTCACTACTTGGATCGTCTCTGTCCTCTCTAGGCCGTCGTTCTCTTCCAGACGAGAATGCAAACACCAGGGAAGCAGAATCCTGGTCGTCTCACCTCCCCTCTATACACCAGGACCCAATACACAGCACACGCACACTGCATTTTGGTTGGATGAGTGATGATTCCCCAATTTCCAGGGTCGCTTCAGGGTCAGGGGAGCCTGGGCAAGCAAGTACTCTGCACCTCAGAGTTGGTGGGTCTCACTAAGTAGACCTCTGAGACACCCACTCACATGCTCCCTAGGAAACCAAGAGCAGGAGTTTGGTGTAAAAAGCCTCAAATCATAAGATTCGGAATGCTGCATTTCACCAGCTTGCCAGAGTACAATTTTGCTAGGAAATAAAAATACATAATATTGCCACAAAATTCAGAACCAGTAAGAGTCCCAGTTTACTAGCCAGACCAGATGCATCTCTCCCTCTGTGTCAGTTATGTTCACCAAACATTCAGGAATCGACTTACAACATTCTTTCAAAGCAGGAACCCAGCCGAGGACTCCACACTGGAACTTAAATTACATTTGGACGCTAAGCTTAGCACCTAAAATAAAACTGAACTTCTCCATGGCGTCTCAACACCCCACCCTCCCAAGGCTGATCCATCAGCTGACATTTAAGTTAGGAGAGCAGGGTCTGCACTTTGTAGCAGTCAGACCCCAGGGGCATCACCCACCCTCACAGTGCCTCAAATTTCCTCATCAGTGAAATGGGGATAATACTCACTACATAAATAGATAAATGAACACCAATCCTTACAACAGCATTAGCCCATGGTAGGCACTCAATAAACATTCCTTGTGATCAGTATTCCTCGCTGGGAGGCTTTGAGCAAGCCATTTCACTTTTTGAGCCTCATTTTCTAGTCTGCAAAGTGGGTACAGAAATCCTTTCCTGCTTGCAAGGCTGCTGAGACAGTCAAATTAGATCACTTCCAAGAATGTGCTAGTTCCCCAGGGTTGCGTGGTCTCCCCTTGCTGACTGAGGGGAATTAGAGAGAGGCTAACGAGGTTTTAAAAGCATTTCTTCTCTAAGCAAAACCTGTGGGGATGAAAATCCTTTCCTGACCTTTTAATCAGAGCTATGAACCAAGCTATGAACCAAGCTATGAACCAAGCTATGAACCAAGCTATGAACCAAGTGCTAGGGGAAAAGGGGGAGGGAGTGGGGACTATGTGGGGAGTGGGGAGTGGGGACTATGATAGTCATTGGCATGGGGGTACCAGGACAGCAAGATGGAGTGGTGGCTAGAGGTGCAGGCTCCAGGCCAGCTGCTGTAAGAGGGAGGAAAAGGGCAGTGGGGCTGGAGATCTAGAGGGTCTAGCTGCACAGCACCACAGCTAGCCCCAGATGGCACCCCTGTGCAAATTTGAAAAAGATATCCCTTCCCCAAGATACTTTGCTGCCACTTTCTGCAAAACTGACACAATAAATATACAAATCTACAATGACTATTACGTGAGTGGTGCCTTGGATTGTGCAGTATACAACCTATACAACTGTACTTAACAGCCCGAGGAGCCCATGCACCCAGTAAGGCTTAAGGAAATCAGCTGAGCACAGATATGCGGATTGTAAACGGTTACAAAACAGAACATGGAAAAGAACCTCAGCAGATGTGGAGAAACAGGAACCTTTATACATTACTGGTGGGGATGTAAAATGACTCAGTCACTGTGGAAAACAGTTTGGCAGTCCCTCAGAAAGTTAAACATAGAAATACCACATAACCAGTAACTCACTCCTAGGTATATACCCAAAAAGAATTGAAACAAAAAGTTGTACACAAATGTTCATGGCAGCATTATTGACAGTAGCTAGAAGGTGGCAACAGCCCAAATGTCCATTAGCAGAATGGATACATAAAATGTGATTTATCCACACAATAATAGTAATCAGTCATAAAAAAGAATGACACATGCTACGATGTGGATTAGCCTCGAAAACATTATGCTGACAGAAGCCCATCACAAACAGCAGCATGATTCCATTATACGAACTGTCCAGAAGAGGTAAATCAAATCCACAGACATAGAAAGCAGACTAGTGATCGCCAGAGCCTGGGGAGAGGAGCAAACAGGGAGTGGCTCTTTAAAGGTACTGGGTCTCGGGCTTCCCTGGTGGCGCAGTGGTTGGGAGTCGGCCTGCCGATGTGGGGGACGCGGGTTCGTGCCCCGGTCCAGGAGGATCCCGCATGCGGCTGGGCCCGAGAGCCATGGCCGCTGGGCCTGCACGTCCGGGGCCTGTGCTCCGCGACGGGAGAGGCCTCAACAGTGAGAGGCCCGCGTACC